TAAGGGGCTAGCCAACCCCACACCTGATGTCTTCCCTCCCCACCCCAGGCCAGATGGCAGAACCAGGTCTTCAAATCTCACCTGTTGTAAACATAAATACACAAATATGATTGTTTTAATCCCTGTTATGTCTATAATTGAATTTTCAGACTTGGTTATACATATTTACGATTGAAAGACAATTTTATGGAAATTTTAAATCGAGAAAATGATATTGAAAGGTAAGTTGTTTTTAATATGAAACAAGGGACACCTGTGGAATACTTCTTGTACATAGTTAATTTAAACTTTTAATGTCATTATAAAAATTACTTGGCAAAGATATTCTGCTTAGTTGATTCTTTAATTTATTTTGGGAAAGACCTAGATGTCTGTAAGTGAATTTTGACTCAGAATATGGAGTTTCAGTGGGATGTTATTTTCCTATCTCAAGAAATATCTGAGAGTAGTGTCCCCATTCTTCTAAAATTAAGAGTGTCTACATGCAAATGTAAGTGATTACAAAATGTTATTTTTTTCCCTTCAGGTTTGAACTATTAGAAGTTCTTAGTTTTGATTCAGTAAGAAGACGGATGAGTGTGATTGTAAAATCAGCAAAAGGTAATTAAAAAAAAAACTTTACAATTTCATACCCAAGGACTTTTTTTTATTTCCAACCCAGTGGGATGTTGGAAAGAAACTACAAAGGAGATTGGAACTCTGTCTGTGTCAGAAAGATAATTCTCAGAGCAGAACAGGACCAGATTTGTTGGGGGAAAAGCTGCCAAAAGAAGGATCTAGTTAGGAAAGCACTACGGTAGATCACATGACTGGGAAGGAAGAGGGAGAGGGCCAATGCCCAGTGCCTAACTTGTTTTAATATAGTATGAATATATTAAAGAAGGTCCATTAATATTTTCAAAAACCTGTTTAGGTTGAAGAGAGATACTATCAGACCCACTAGGTACCCCAGACCAGGAAATCAGCTCCACAGGAAAGCCAGAACTACTTTTATTGAGATGCTGGCTGGGGAATTCTGGGAGTTGAAGTCCACGCATCTTCAAGCTGCCAGGGTTGAGAAACACTGGGTTAGAATGACAGAATCTTGCACGTCTTATTCTGCTGTATCTCCCCACTCCTCTCCTTAGACTGTAGTGAATCAGGGAGATATCTGCCTGAGCTACTTCTGAATATTATATTGTGTCTCAGGACTTAAAAAAAATTTTCAGTCTCTTTTGCCTTGGTAACAGTTCTTGCATATTTTCATCAGGGTCACTTCACTTATTCTCCTCGGATACGTTACAGTACATTTAACAAAGTTTTCTCATTTTGTTTTGTTTATATATTTTCAGAGGAAATCTATCTGTTTTGCAAAGGAGCAGATTCTTCTATATTTCCTAGAGTTACAGAAGGAAAAATAGAACAGATTAGGTCAAGAGTTCAGCGAAATGCTGTGGTAAGATCCAAATTCTAGCGAGTATAACTTACACTGTGTGTCTATAGAACAGAAAGCAATGTAATTTTTCTCAGAGCTTCCAGTTCTGTGGAACCCATTGGTGTCCACAGGAAACCAAGATTCCATCAAAATCATGTGGCAATCTCATGATGCAAATCCCACCCCTGTGTATGCCATTTTTGCATCCTTATGTCTAATGGAAGTACTTAAGTTGCAGTATTTACTTCATGATATCATGAAGCATGTTTTGTCATATGTCCCCTTGGCGTTTCCTGCTCCTTGCATCTGTCTGTGTGTAGAACCAAAGATTTGAATGCTCTAACCCAAAGATCTCACACAAGACTGATGTAATTATACATTTGAATGTTCTTACCTGAGATGTGAAGGTATCATATGACTGTGACCATTTTTAATCTTATGTTAATTTGTGGGACCCTCAGGCATTGTTTTGGAGGATGTCAGCCATACAAGCCCTCAAAGGCTCCATCTTCCTGATGCTACACCTTTAAGTAGTATGTTTGTGGCTTAGCATTATATGTAAGCCAAACCACTATAGTTTGTTCAACAAATCATGCCGTAGACCTTTGTATGGAGTAGAGCTCATTAGCAGAGCACGCAACAGTTTCAATGAATATTTTTTGTGCTGCTAAAACAATTGTCTTTCAGGAGGGTTTGCGAACCTTATGCATTGCATATAAAAAATTCACACATGAAGAATATGAGATTGTGGAAAAACAGCTTCAAGAGGCAAAACTAGCCCTGCAGGATCGGGAAAAAAAATTGGCAGAGGCCTATGAACAGATAGAAGATGGGCTTATCTTGCTTGGGGCTACAGCGGTCGAAGACCGGTTGGTGTTCTCCTTTCCATTTAAAACTATATGTCAGATACATTATTTTTGATCTTAAATTCAGTTGTGGTAGTTAATTTTCCTCCTGACCCAAGTACCTGTGTGATAAAAAGGCCCTGACCCTGATAGCTAGATTGGTTAAGCATAGTTTCTCAGTTTGGACAACAGAGGACAACTAAGACTTCCTGATTTATTGAGGCAAGGTCAAAGGGATTATTTGGGAAATGGGGGGGAGGCTTTTTCATTTTTCAATGCTAAGATACAAGTAATCTGAATGCAGCCTTAGAATTCCACCCAGCTTAGAAAAAATGATTGCTCTTAACAGCAAATGTAAAACAGTTGAAAAACACACTGTGGTTCTTCCGAGAGGAAAAACTTAACTCCTGTATCAAAGTAAAACCATTGAACAATTTGATAATAAGAACTAAATACTTACTTAATACCATGATAGAAAATGTGTTGTTATAAGGAATTTAGACCTGAGGATTTCCCTTATATGGAGGCAAAATCTTTCCGTGGGTGGTAAGAGATTCACTTTATTTTTAATTCCAAATTTTGTCAGTTGTTGTTGTTGTTCCTGCTTCCTAGGTTACAGGAAAAAGCTGCTGATACAATTGAGGCTCTGCAGAAAGCTGGCATTAAGGTATGGGTTCTGACAGGAGACAAAATGGAGACTGCTGCAGCTGCCTGCTATGCCTGCAAGCTATTCAGAAGAAATACTCAAATACTTGAGTTAACTACAAAGAAAATAGAGGAACAGAATTTGCACGATGTACTGTTTGAATTGAGCAAAACTGTCCTAAAGCACAGTGGCAGCTTAACAAGGGACATCTACTCAGGGTAAGTTGAAAATACGTGTTCAAAACTGAAGCTTTCAGGAATAAAATGAAATACAGATTTTAAAATATCTTCCAGTGTCCAGAATATAAACTCTGTATTCTTCAGCTGAAGATACATAAGCTGTTAGTAGTTCTTTAACAGGTATATCTGGAATACCTTTTGGGCACTGCAGATGTCTTCATGCCTTCATTATACAGAATCTCTGAGCTTCCTTTTTCATGACACTCTTCTCTGGACCAGGAGGGCCTTCAGATTCTCACACTTTGGATACCTTGCATTTGGACTATTGCACTGTGTTCTCTGTGGGTCTGCCCTTGAAAACTACTTGGAAGCTGCAGCTGATCCAGAATATGGTGGCGTGTCCATATGACACCCCTGCTTGGTGTGCTGCACTGGTTACCAGCAGACTTCCAGATGCATTTTGGGGTTCTGGTTATTGGTCTCTGACATTGACTGGGAGGAATTTTTTCCCGCTCCTTCATGCAGATTTTTTTCAGCTGGGCAATATTTGAGGCTTTTCTTGCATGCACAGCCCATTTCAAATCACCCCACAGCATCTTGATGGAATTTAGGTCCAGGTTTTGACTTGGCCATCCAAAATTCTCCTTTTCTCTTTTTCAGCCATTCCTTAGTAGATTTATTGGAATGTATGATGTCGTTGTCATGTTGCAAGGTCCACTTTCAGTTGAGTGTCAGTCTTCTGACAGAGGGTCTCACATTATCCTCAAGCACCCTCTGGTACAATGAAGAATTCATGGTGGATTCTGTGAGGGTGAGCTGCCCAAGCCCTGATGCAGCAAAGCAGTCCCAAACCGTAATATTTCCACCACTGTGCTTTGCAGTTGGTATCAGGTTCTTCTGGTGAAATGCCGTCTTTAGTTTTCACCAAACATGTCTTATGCTACTATGGCCAAATAAGTGCCTTATTTGTCCAGAGCATATTGTTCCAGTAGTCTTTCTGAAGGCCTCAGAGAGCTCTTTTGATCTAGATATGTGTATAGATATACACCCTTCAACAACAAAGAGCAAATCAAACTAAATGTCTGAGTTTTTAATAAGACAGGTTCCTCCCAGATCTTCACTAGCAATGTTGTAATAATTGGCACCGGCTCTGATGCACCTGATTCTTAGGTATTTGAGATAGTGATAAATGTAGGGGTGTACTTACTTTTTCCACATGCAAAATTTGCATTTATGTTTACTGAAATTACAAGTTTCATGATATTTGCATGAAATTTGTTATATTAGATCCCCTTCATCAGTTTTGTTGAAATAAAGATCAAATATTTCAACCCATCCCACCAAATCTCACAGAGAGGGCATGCTCCAGATCCCCACGGTAAAAGAACTTCGATCTGCTGGGTCCAGGAGGCGGGCCTTCTCTGCTGTGGCCCCCGCCTT